TTGAAAAGTTTTAAACATACATCAGAAAAAGTATGATAGGTTTTGTTTTGTTTAAAAAAAGTTAAATAATTATTTATAACTAAAAAAAAATAAAATAAAAGAGTTACATTCTACCCCTTAAATTGTGATTTTTTTTTATAACTTACGGTGTTATCATCTTATGCTGTCGGCCGGTTACTTCCCTTGGGACACATTGTATAGTTGATTTAACGACTTTTATTTCAGTTTTATATTATTATATTTGTACAATAAAAGTTACTGAAAACGAATATTATCATTATTGTATTCAATTCAGACATTATAATTTATAATATATCAAACCATCATGTGTTGGCAAGATTATGTGGTTTGCTGGTTGGCAAAAATGTGAAATCGATTCGGCTTATCGTACATCATTTTGATGGGCTTTTTTTAGACGTGTCGTGTCGGCATCGTTCGAAATCGACGTCCCGAATTTTCGATATACATAATTATTTTCAAAAACATCGATTCATCATCGTTTGAAATTTTAAGTATTTATAGAAACATAGTCTCAAGCTACACCTTGCTACGACACATCATATCACGAGCGGTATTCTACCAAAAAGTAGATTAACAATATTGATTTTAAATTTTATGTATTAATAATTTTAAATTTGTTTGTATATTAATATACGTTTTTACGGGGGTTGGTGATATGAGGATTTAATTTTAGAATAGTTTTTGTCCGAAAAAGGGGTCGGAATTCCAGGAATATTTTTATGGATTGTTTCGTTGTATTGTGTTACATAGTAACAGTGTATATTGCATAATATACATGGAACAGGAACGCAAATTTAAAGGTTTGAAATATATATTATAAATATGGCTAAGATTTATATGCAATACAAAATTGTAAAATATACATTTGGTTCATTAAAAATTGCAAAAATATACAATTAATACTATACATGACAAAATATACAATAAACACTTAAAAAAAAAAATGAATGCGTTTTAAAATTCATAAGCTATTATTTCTAACTATTAATGCTATTCAAATGTACTCGTATTACACGAAACAACTACATGATATTTTAAATTTTCAAAATTAAACGATCTTATGTTAATTCTTAACATTTTTTTATACAGGTATTTTTGAATAACATCAATTCATACTGTCAAACGATAAAAACGTCTAGTAGTAGAATATATTATAAAATATGCATTTTTTGCGTTTTTATAGTTAGGATTTGTAATAATATTTCAATTATTTTAAATATGCAATAATATGCATTTTGGTCAAAATATTCAAAAATATTCAAAAATATACAAAATAAAAACACCATTATTTACCACATCATAAGGTGATTCGTGGATATTATTAACAAAAGCAAAGTCGCAAAAAAAAACATACTATTGGATGTAAATTCTGACCCTAATTATAAGTATTATAACGTATATTTTTATAATACATACAAATATTTATCTTTGTTACTATTCAATTAAAATTAGATAATAATAAATATGAGTATTGTATAGTGTAATTTATATATTTGTAGTGAAGTACCTACTTAATGAGCTAAGAGGTCGTTAGCCATTCAATTGACCACGTTGAAACATAAAATTTAGCATTAAAAACCTGAAACGTAAAAAAAAAACATGATATAATAGAATATTGAGCATATTTTACTCAATTTGCTAAAGCATGTATTTTACCTAAGATTAGACGGACATAATATTATACCCTATCACATTATTAAAATATGTGATGATGATAATGTAACGTTATTTGGAATTTCATTGTTATCATCATAAAATTCAGTAAGGTATTTTTCCACTACTTCACTTATAAAAAAATTATTAAATAAAAAATTTATCTTGTCATAAAAAAAATACAACGATAAAAAAATAGAAAAATTTATAATTTAAAAACATTTTGTTTATATTTTCAAAATGTTTAATATTTTCTTGTAAAACGAGTGTATTACGTAAACAAATCATCTTATGTCTTTATTATAATTAATAATAATATTCATAATATTAATAAGTTTTAACTTTTTTCTATTATTTTCTAATGGTATCCAAAAGATGGATGCAATTAGATAATTAGTCCAAATAATATAATTGTAATATTATAGTTAATAAAAAAATTAAATATATAAAATTTGCAATTATTTATTATTTTATATAATTTAACATATTACATACCTATTTATAAATATTAAATACTATCTTCCATTTATATATTTTAACTTTTATGATATATGAAATATACACATCTATAATACATAATATTACGATATAATAAAAACAAATTCGTTACTGTACCTAATTTGTATTTATTATGTTTATCCATGGAAAAATCCTGCGTATGCCACAGCAAGTTAAAGTACATACTTGAAAAGATATTATTTACAACATAATATCTTGTCTAAGGGTAAGAATTTGTGTAGATATGTTGCCTATCTAAGACGCCGTATCATTATATTTTATAATTATTTAAATGTATAACGAGGATAATGTTTGAACTGATTTTTCTTATGAGATAAATTCAAAGTTATAAATTATAATCAACGTAAGTGGTAATTCTATGACCTGTCTGATTTTAGTTATAAGTTCAATGGTTAATTAATTATAAATTAATTGTCTTTATTCTAATATTATAGCATGAAGTCAATATTATTACGTATATATTTACGTATGTGCGTATTTCATTTTTATTATTATTGTTCTTAATCAAAAACAGTAATGAACAGAAATCGTATGAAAATTTTAAACATTAAAACTCATATTATAAGCTTTCTTTAAGATATTTCTTTCACAATATGTATTTACGTTTTGTATTATAGTTACTCGTCAGTGTATGTAATAGCACTATTCAATTTTTGCTATTGTACTAATACATACAATTTTGGTCAGTTATAATATGATATATACTATAAAGTCCAAACAAAAGTTATCATTATATGAGTATACTACAACGCGTGTTTAAATAACGTATTAAAAGAAGTTATTTAAAGAAAGATATAGGCGTATAATTTCATTTTTTGAAATAATTTATGATTTTATATTATTGTTATACTACGAATTAGTGTAGATATATCATCGTATACTAGTGTAATTAATTATATAGAAAAATATTTAAATGTTGGTATTTTTTACTGAATATATAATGAAATAAAATAAGAAAAATTATGAATGAAAGAAAACGAAATTTTGATAAGAGAAAATATTTGTTTATAAAATATTTAAGTAATACACAATACTATATATGTTGTACTGATATAAGTCCGATAGATTTTATTCACATAAGTCATAGTGCAGCTATTAAATAATACTTCTGAGGAATACAAAAGTATGTAGTATAGCGTATTATTTTCTCGCAATTAATATCGATTGGAAACGAAAAAAATGCTTAGGTATAATTACAGTTTCGCACATATAGCAACTGGGTAATACAGTGTATAATATATAATAGATCGTCGATTATCCTCACGGGCATACGTTAACTGCGCCCAAATGATCTTTTTTTTTGTAAACTGCGCCCGAAATTTTATTTATGTTAAAAAGGTATAGTGTAAACTACGCCTGACTTATAAACTTATTAAATTTTGACTTATTAAAGTCTCTATGTTTGACAATTGTGTACTTTTTCAAGTATATCATAGAAATTTTATTTTCGTCAAGAAATACCTACACGTTATCGAATATTTATATTGCAGTAATACGACATCTGATGACTGATGGATATCACTACTTCCGGTAAAGTTCTGCTAGAGGTGCTAGTTAAAATCGCGAAAATAAAACAGCGAAAACACTAATAGCGAAAAGTAAAAATTCTATTAATTTTATTTTTTAAACCATAGGTATAAATTAAAACTATCATCTCTGCAGTATTATAAAATAAATTCAAATTCGTTAAAAAAAATTAAATATAAAACAATTATCGTCACAATACTATAAAATTAAAATTAAATTTGATATGATAAATTATAAGCAATACCTCTTAAGTATTCTAGTTTGTCCCTATTTTCGTAGTCATCAACTAATTGTTTAATTGTATCCCTTTTGGAGTTTTGCGTTTTCTGGACGATTCGACTACACCTGCTATCTACTGATTTATTTTCATTTCGTTTAAACTTTGTTCCTTATTAAGTATTTTACCTGTAATTTTACTCGGGCGCAGTTTACATGTCACCTTTTTACACTTAATAAAAACTCGGGCGCAGTTAACATGTATGATTTTGTGTTTACCTGTATCTTGGGCGCAGTTTACAATTGCCGATCCTCACTAATTGAAACCGAAGGGGGTGTGAATAATCGATTTGTGTAGATAATCAAACAATCATCGAAAATTTTAAAATAAAGTTAAAAACTAATTTACTAAATATAATATTCATACATAATATAAAAAAATATAATGAATATATATGTAATGTATTTATTTGAAATAATAATCAATTTTTTTTTGCACTTCTAATGAACTCCTTTTTTCACCGCCAAATCCTTTATTCTTTTTAATAATAAAAGTTCGGTTGTATTACACTCTGGTTGTTGTTGCATTGTTGATTTCAATGCATTAAAGGCTTCATTAAGCGTAGAACCAGTATAGTTCTTGGCGTCTTCAAATTAATTTTCATATTGAGCAAACAGTTCTGATTATTTTACTGATTCAACAATTTCATGGGGTTCAATATTTCAAATCCTAAATCATTTGCATCATTTTCTATTCAGTCTTTCATATTAAATTCGTTATTTTTTTCAAGTCCAGGAATTGATTTTAGTAAATTTGTAATTTTGGTAATCTCTTATATTTCTTGATTTTCTTGAATTACTTCTGCAATTGGCTATAATTTATTCCAGGCATTTTTTCTATTTTCTATTTTGTGTTGTAATTGATTGCCAACATTCAGCTAACAATACATAACATGAATCTTTTAAATTTAAATTTCGATAAAAACTTCTGACATTTTCTTCGCAATCCGTCAACTGCAAACGTCGTAATATTTGTTTTCTATAAATCCGTTTAAGCTTTTCAATTATCCCTTGATCCATAGGTTGAATATTATTGTAGTAGTATTTGCAGGAAAAAACATAACATTAAAATCTGGGTCTACCATATTCAATTTTTTAGTAGAAGGATGAGATGGTGCATTATCTAACAAAAGCATAACTTTTCCTTTTCTTCCTTTACATTTTCGTTCTTGTTTGACTTTAGATATAAATTCATTAGAGTACCATTCATAAAATAATTCAGAATTCATTCATGCACTTTTTTGTACCTTATATGTCACTAGAAGTCGATTAATATTTTTAAAATACCATGGTTTAATAGCTTTTCCAATCACTAATAATAGTAAAGCGTAATATCCACTAGCATTTGCGAAAACCATCGCAGTTATCCTATTTTCACTTATTTTATAACCAGATGTTGATGATTCACAATGTGATGCTAATGATTTTCGGGGTAATGCCTTCCAGTTTATACTTGTTTCATCAGCGTTGTAAATGTCATTTTTTGTGTATCCTTCTCGCTCTACCATATTCAAAAATATTTTCTTAAATTAAACCTATAATAAATTTATTTGTACATAGTTACTATAATATATGATGAATGCGATTAATACGAAATCCGAATCATCTGAAAAATGGAAATCTAAATGTTATTATGTGTACGTGTGTAATAATAATACATAATATTTCAATATAGCAAATACGAGTATATATTATATTTTAAATATTATATAGGGTACATTTTTCATGTTTACGTACAGATTATATACAAAGTGATTCATCAATTACGAGTATATTGACCCTATTTTTTTAAAATTAATTTAATTATTCAAAATCTAACTTTTAAAATTTTTAATTTTATCTTAAGAATATATTTTTAAGTTTTGAGATTCGTTTCACTACTCAAGGAGTGTCTTATGATAATTGGAGATACAGAAACAAAATAGTTTTTTTTTCATTTCAGGATATTTTGACGTGTCAAAATTAATATTCAAACAAATAGTTTTTGTTAATTTAGTTTTTACATTAATTATAATGGGTTCATGATAGTAGGATTGAAATATAATATATTATTATGGAGATTTAAACGTTTTAGTAATTTATTATAACCCATCAACATTTATAACATATAAAATTGGTCCAAGTATAATAAACACTTAACCAAAATTATATCTATTTTATGGATACTTTTTAAGTAATACAAAAAATATCTCATGATTTAGAAAATAAAATCTTCAAATGTATTTGAAAATTCTAAAAATGAAAATTGATTTATAATTAAACTGAAAAATTAAGGTGAGTATAATATTTGGTGAATCACTTTATTATTATTATTATTATTATCATATTTTTATCTTTATTGACGAAAAAAACTTTATTTATAAGACAATAAATTTATAAAATTGTGTAGTGACACTTATAGAATAAAATTAAGTACAAATAATATAAAATTCACATTCAATTAATATAATAAGTACATATTATGTGGTATACAATTTTACAGCTATAATAAATTATTAATTAAAATTATTATCCATAGTGTTTCCTATTGGCTATTATAGTCATCAGTATATGCATGGGTCATGATTTTGAGTATGTTTTAGAAACATTATTAATTAAAAAACTTTCTTGTATGTTATCTGTTGGTAAACATAAAAAATTCTTGTTCCTTTTGTATTGTAAAAAATTAAAATATAACATTAAAACGTTATTTGCTCAGCTTATCATTTATTTTAATAAAATTGTTTCATAACCTGTCATTTAATATGATACAGGTAAACCACTGTTTATATATTTTGTTCAATTATTATTTATCTACAACTGGTACACATCGTCCAATTTATTTGTCCACGTGAAAAAAAAACAACAAATATGTAAAAAAGATATTTGATCCTTATTGCGAAATTCTACCCATTTTTATATAAATAGCATATAGAATTAATTTAATATGTTCGTTTTGATTCGCAAACGTACTCGTACACTACATATTTTCGTAGAATTACAAAAACCTAGTTTACCAAGCGATATGAATGAGCATCAGAATAGTTGACCGTGTTAACTTTGAATATGAATTTATAAAAAAGTACGTGATGAAAGACTTTAATTTCGTGGTGGATATAATATATAATAGCATAATAATAATAATAATAATAATATAGAAGTTTATATAACAACGCAACTGTCGCAACTGTTTATAACACTGTAGAACTGTTATTATAGCGGCAACTTGTATATGAAAATAACATAATAATCATCATCGACTGTAGTGGATCCATATGATTAAATGAAACATATTAAAATGCAAAATAATGTAATATGCCCATAAATTTACGATTGACTTTGCTCTTGGAGACGTCATTGGCATAACAAGTAATATTTATTAACATTAATAAATCAATAACAACAGTTAGAACAATAGACATGTAAATACCATTTATGCAAGTCAGTTTTTATTTCTGACATGTTATCATCTTTTTATTATTCTTTTGTATTATTATTATTCTCTATCAATAACTGAAACACAGCAGTATTTCGGGACACCCGTTTCCAGTTATCGTTTCTACAAAATGGTTGCTTTTACTATTGCGGGAATACTTATACTGTACATTTTACAATGTACATATTATACATACTAGGTATGTTATTATGTATTTCATACACATATTAAACACAAACAGGTGATTAATTTAACAGAAGAATATTCGCCATTTTACGGACCATTTTTTTTTTTTTTTTTTTTTTTGAAAATTTAACTAGATTTACGCAATAACAACGTTTTACATTGTAAGAAGAGTAGCGTTTTGTGCATAGAGTAGAAACTGTTTTTATTTTTTAATTCTTAAAAGGCAAAACATATGTTTTAATTTCAAAAATTAGATATTAGAATAATGTTGAAAATTAAATTAGAGTTTTTTTAACGATGTTATAGTTTTTTTTTTGATAATTTTTAATGAGTAGGTCTATAAAGTTTAGACAAGTGTAGTGGCTAGTGATAAACCATAAATTTTGCAGGATACCCTTAGCCAATTTAACTTTTATATTAACTGCATATCTACATGTTATAATTACTAAAAAAAATAAAATAAATCAATCGTTAAATATATTTACATAAAATTGTTCATTATTGAAAGAATCATCTTGTAAATAATGCTATAAATGAACTAGTACTTTTGTAGCAATAGATTATATGCAATCAAAATTATAAAGTGTACACTACCACTTCACGCTCTGTGGCATACACATTTCTATCGTTTTTAATTTTTATATTATTTGGTTTGACTCAAAGTCGTATTGTTATTATATGAAAATAGAATGCTTTATAATAGTACAATGATGATGCACACCTATTTTGTATTATTTTATTACATGGTATAGACAACATACCTTTTATATTATACTGTATAATATTGCAATATTATATTATATACCTTCCTATTACATTTTACATCTTATTTGTATTTATTAAAAATCATAAACAATGTGCAACGAAACTCGCAATATCATGAATCCATTCTTTAGTATTTATATATATACATATGGTGATAAATGTACGCAAGAACCGGGTTTAGGTATAAAATCATAAACGAAATTGTATATAGTTGTAGCTATAATGAAAATTGTCTAAAAAAAAAATGCGTATATATTTGACGAGAAAAATGTCTGGGAACACCGGATACGAAGATGTATTTATTAATAAAGTTCAACGGAACAAATTGTATCGTGAAGAAAAGCAACTATTGTTGACTTTGAGAGTATAATATTTTATACGTTTATGAAATAAAATAAAAATATATTTTTTTTTCAAATGCCTTGGAGCTTTATTATTTAAACGACCCAAAGGTCTTTATAAAAATGTTTAATAATTATGTATATTTTATATACTAGTTATAAACTATATATACTTTACAGGAGTCACTTCTAATGAAATGACTACTGACTTGTATAAAATCTTAAACCAAGTTGTATGGTTTCAGATGCTTAAGACGTCTGATGTTTTCAGAGTTATCCAATAATTAGATGGCCAATGAATTGACATGGTGATCTACACTCTTCTCGTGTTAGTGAGCAAACCTTTAGATTTTGTTTGCTATTGTAGGCAGCATCATATCACGGTGAATTGTATTGTTTCTTTGGAACTGATAGGCTGTAGTGATGGTCCTTAGTGTGATGTTTCGACAGCGTTATATTAATATATCAATATTAGACTTGCTGGCACAATCTCACAGTTGAATGTTGTAAAACTCAGATAGGTTTTATAATAATTATATATTATAGTAGACGATTGTTTTTGATTGTTAACTCAGAGTAGGGTTCGATTAATCAATAAAGTTTTTGTATTTTTTCTTTAATCTGAATTTTTTTATAACGGACATGGTGTTTTTAGTTTAGACGAGAGTCAAGATGTATTCCAAGATATTTAATTGAGTCTTTTTGCTGGATTGGTGATTGATTCAGTACTATTTGGGTGTTTTCGGTTTTACGTAACGTACCTATAGTTAGCGAGTACTGATTTACATCATTAATCTTATTTTGCTAATGTTTCATCTCAGCAAAAATATTGTCAATTGATTTCAGTAAATTATAGGTTGCAGTAAGCTGACCAATGTGTTGACAAAATTACCGTATTGTCGTTAAACAGTGGCGTATTTACGGGGGGGGGGGGGGGGACAGGTTCAAACACTTTCCAGAATAAAAAAAAAAATATGTATCTATGCACCAAACGTATCGTAAAAGTTTTTAATTAAAGTATTATTTATAAATTATATGGACATATCTAACCAGTATGTGTGTACGGAGTTTTCGATAAACAAATTATAAAAATATTGTCCACAATCCAAAAAAATTATAATAGTAGAGCTATTAGACTTTTTTAAATTTTTTTAAAATTTGAAATGAAGAAAAATGTAAACTTAAAGATGGCGTTACAATTAATTATTTTATTTGAAAAATTATTATACTAATACTTTAATAAATCTATTACATCGATGTACCTAATTAAACTAAAAATTAATTTTACTAAAATTGTGACATTTTTTTTCAATTATAAAATAATAATGTTTGTATATATTAATTTTATCTTTCTATTTCTTGTTTCAAAGTAAGCTTTATCATATGATTTTTAAAAATGTAACCCCCCCCCCCCCACCCCGAGAAATTATTTAAAATACGTCACTATTGGTAAATATAGCTAAAATTGTGTTGTCATCATTTGGTATGTCAGCTGTTTAGAGTAGGCACAGGATAGATACAGGATAGGTCCTAAAACACTTCTTTACGGCACTCCAGTTGATATGTCTTTCCATTTGGTTACCGTGTCAGTCAAGTATGATTCTAGAAGTACATACCAGGTATGTGGCAGTTAATTACGCACTTTGATGAAGAATCCTTTATGACAAACTTTGTCAAAAGCCTGGTCTACGTAAAGGAATACTCCATAGTAGTACTCTTTTTCTTTAAGAGATTTATTAATCACATTATTAACTCGATATACTTGAACGATTGTCGAATATTTGTTGCGAAATCCAAACTA